GGGGAGGGGGTGCTAAATGAAAGCAGGAGATCTGCACAGAGCAGGGACAGCTTGTTGTCAGTATCATAAACAACCAAAATGGAGGGAGAACTCAGGCATATAACCAAATAAAAATTTTTTAAAAATCGCAAAAAATCCCTAAAAATCCGGGATGCTCCCCCTTTTCTCGCTAAAGGTAAAAGTATGAACCGCCTTTCCCCTGAAGTCCATTTTGACTTTGCAGGGACCAAGGAGTTAATATTTATTTATTTTTTAAAACTTTCGAAGGGCAAAAGCCTTTTATAACTCAACCGACAATGAGAAAACGTGAAAATCCGATGCAAGAGAAGGAGGGGGAGGGAGGGGGGAGGTGGTAGTGCAGAAACTGCTAAACTTATTGGTAATGTGGACTGATCTGAGATAAGATAAATACTATATTTGCTATTTTATAACTCTCTTTTAATGATCTTTGCGGGGTGGGTGGTTTTTTTTGGTGGAAAAAAAAAGTGATGCCATTTTCTTAATAGAGTTAATACGTGTGATTGGAAGAATAAACCTTTCCGGCTTTAGATTGCATTTTCGTCGCATTTATGTTTCAGGTTTTGTTAGTGGCTCCCTCCTTTCTTTAATCTGGGCTCTACAGAGGAGGGGTAGAGAGGTGATGTTGCACAGAGAGACTGGAGTGCAAGACTGGAGCACCTTTTGGGGAGGGGTGGGGAGTTGCTTGGTTTCTCCCTTCCTGACCCGTTTGCTTCACCTGTTCATCCTTAGTAAAGAATATTAAGCTGAAGTTTTCTGGTTTTACGTATATAAAAGGATGGTGCCTCTTGCATCACATTGAAGTTAATGGGAAAGTGCTGCTGATGTTGGTTCCACGTGGGATATGGGACAGAGCAGGGCATTTTAAAGGGACAGCTTCTCTTTTCTTGTGATTTTCATCACCTACACAGAATCCCTGTCTGAGGACCAAAAGCAGAGGTGCTGGGAGGGTGTGGTGAGGGAAGAGCCTTCTCTTTCCACTACTCGAGTGCAGCCACCTTTAGGAGTGATGGAGGGAAAGGAGGGATAAACAGGCTCACCAGAAGATGGACATTGTGTAGATTAGTTTGTATCCAAGCTGTTCTTTTGTGTAACAAGCCTCCCAGGAACTTTTCATGTTACGTTTCTTTGCTTTGGAAGCTGGTTTTGGAAGGATTTGTGGAAAAATGGAAATAGTTTAAGGTGTGTGGTGTAATGGTATAGCATTATTGAACAGTTATGAATTCTATGCAGCAAGATCAAAGAGCTGTGTATGCCCATAATGTGATTTTACAGCCATTTTGTAAAAGCTGTAAAATACCTAATATTCAATTTGGCTTAAGGTACATTGAGGACTTCTGGTTGAAAACTGCAGACAGAGTGGTGGAGATTCTTTTACACTGTAAGCAGTAGGCATTTCTTTAAGGGAAAAAAAAAGCACATCCACCAACACCATGGAAAAGTTTACGTAGACCCATTTTTAAAGCCCATCCTATACATGTGCTGGAACTCTGCTACTTTGAAATTAAAAGGTTTTAAAATCCTGAGACCTGTCAGTCTGCATCTTTTCAGTTGAATTTATTTGTGTTATTTGCCAGGAAATGTTTACTGATCATAAACTACTATTGACTCTAATGGCTTACATGTTCACAGTATTTTCAAAAATTAAAATGTGTCCATTGTCAGCTGTGCTCTATTTGAGATTAAGGTTACTCTCGGAGAGAATTTATTTGGGCTCTGTTTTCCACAGGTATATGGAGTTCTGAAATAAATGCCTATTTTCTTTTGTTTTTTTTTTATGAGTTATAGCAATGGATTAAAATTAGAGCTGGATTTTTAGACTTCTTATACAGAATATTTTTTCCTTCCATACTGTACAAACAGATTATTGTTTTGAAGCCCATTGTATGTTAACGTGTGTTCACAGCTGAGCCCCTATCTGCACCTTTCTGTAAATACCTCCCTAACAGCATTACATCGGTGTAGTGTTTGAGTACATCATCTTGTGGTTTCTGATTTTGGAAGCAATTATAACTTTCTAAGAACTCATTAAAAATTATTCCCAAGAACCACTGTAAAATCAAAACTGATTGGAAAGTGATTAAACTATCAATGGGAAAGAGTAATTTCCCCTTCCCCAAAATAATCATCTGTCCAGGGGTTTCAGAACGCCATTAATATTTATAGAACCTTTGAAATACATTTTACATTTTCATTGTATTTTGGCTGGGGACAGTTCCATTAACTATAAGTAGTCAGGGTTAGGCTATGTGTTTCAAATAAATGAGACCTTTACATCTTGAATGCTTGCCACTTTGATAAACTAGATAGTAATATCATTAAATTCAGTTTCTGTAAAAGTGAAGGAAAAGTATTTCTGCCACTTGCATTAGACTATTGAGTTATTCAGTTTGTTTGGACACTTCAAGTTATGATTAGTGAGTTGTCAACCTAAATAAAAGTGCTGGTATTGTGATTTTTTTTTTTTCCCCTTTCCCACAAAGGGTGGTATAAAACTTTCTTCGTGTTTGGGTTTTACACGGCTAGCTACTTAACTGAATTAGAAAATGCACTGAGAGTGTACAAAGTATAAAAATCTGTAATTCCTTAGAGAGTCTTATTTGGATAGGACACAGCATAATATCTAATTTGAATTGGTTGTATTGAGCTTTTTAAATGTCTTAGATACACTACCTGTTGAACATACTTTTTCTGAAGCTACTACTAAATTATACAAATTTACAGAAATAATCTAAGGATAGTGTACACTCAAACTCTTTATTTCAGTTAGAATTAGAGAAACCTCCTAGTTTCAGATTCTTATTTGAAATTTATATGCCTAATTCTGCTACTTGAAATTCTATAAGGAATTTAGCACTGTGGAAGATAATTTATAAATATGGGCTAATACTGACAAAATTCTGTATCTGTATATTTATTATAACCAAAATATTTTAGTAAACAGATGTCTTACAGCTAAATAGTGAATTTGCTTTTATCAAAATAGTTTAAAAAGTTTTAAGGATACTCTTTGTGTTTTAATACCCTACGAAAGTGGGAATTTTTTCCTCATTTTTAACACAATTGTATACATTTTGATTGGTATTCTGGAAATTTTCCTTTCTGAGGATTAAATTGTTGTTTGCTAAATGAAATGTAATGCTCCTGTCTTTGACATTTGAAAAGCCAAATATCTGAAACCTATATCTATAGCTAGCTGTCTTTTAAGTTTTGTTTCAATAATCATTTGCCTCTTGAACTGTGTAATCAAAATATTGGTTCCTTCTAGGAATGTTTTAATATTCTTTATTTAGAATCCTGTTTTTTTTGGAAAATTAAAATATATAAAAAATTACCTGTTACACACACATTCATCCACACACACACACAAACCCAAGAAAAAAGTTTCACTGAATGAGTTTACTTACACTGCCTGGATTACTTTTTCTTTTTTTGTGTGTTTCCAAATGTATAGGAAATAAATATAAATTTTTTCTCTTTGTATTGATAATATCGTAGATTCTTTAGTTATTTGAGTAAGGGAAGAGTTTCAGAAGAAGGAAAAACAACTGAATGTGTACAACAAAATCCAAGATAGTGAATATGTTAAAGGTAAAAGGGTTATAAATTGTCCTTTGAGCCATGTTTTAAATGTTTTAAGAACCT